TATATAAAGCAACTGGGTGAAATAAAAAAAACAGGCCAAGGCACCCCATGGTAGCCAGAAATGTTACAATATGAGCCTTGAAGTCAACATACCAGGCTGGTTTATAATCAAAACAAAGATTTTGAACTTTTAGTGAAACAAATATATGCCATAAATTAAAAACAAATATTGGAAAAATACTGGAACATTCCAAAGGACAAGAAGAAAATGTGAAGGAACGAACATGAAAATATTAATATGAGTATTAATGCCAATAACGATATTACTCAGTGTGTTCAGTCATTTGTTCAACCTTCATGACCACCTAACGTTAGATTTCATAATGAATCTGAGTTTTAGCGTTCCCAGAGGATGTCATCCATATAATCAGGCATATAATCAAATCAACATGGCCTAAACCTAAAGCTGAAGCAAAGCTCTATCCAGATTGCCACACATAGTATAGACTAAGTACAACGCAATATTTAAATCCGGTGCATATGATATCACAGAAATTATTCTTGGTACGATTTCTGCAGATGTCTGCACGACACTGTTTGAAAACACCCCCTCCCCCTCTCGACTTTTTACACGCTCATAGTGCTACATATGAATGGCTAGATATTATCACATAACACCCAATCGTGCACATGATATTAAAAATCATAAAGAACGTTAACCTTTGTCGCCGGAGAAGGGACATCTTGAAATCGGAGGACACTGAAGACTTTCTACATCGTTCCAGAAGAAACTTTCCGCCATCTTGAATGTTTACATTCTCCCAAGGACCAGCCCATTTTGCGGCAGGTATATTTACGACACGGCGTGACGTCACTGTAGTGTGGACGGTTCCAGAAAGCTCTGGAAGGTGTGCGCAAGTTCTCGTGTTATCCTGGATGTTGTAGAAGCCTAGATTGTTCCTGAATGTTCGGGAAAAAATTGTAGATCTTGGGAGAAGATTCTTCCGAGTGGTTTATAAGCGCCGCAGAAGTAAACTCTGGTCATTCAGTTTCCAGAGAAGCGAAGGAAAGTTATCCAGACTGAGAAAAGAACCAGAGCGACTGTAACGTTTATACTGACAACATGCCAGGCAAACAAGCACGCGGACCGGCTATCGGGATCGACCTCGGCACCACCTACTCGTGTGTCGGAGTGTTCCAGCAGGGGAAGGCGGAGATCATCGCTAACGACCAGGGGAACAGGACAACCCCCAGCTACGTGGCGTTCACCGACAGCGAGAGACTCATCGGAGATGGCGCCAAACAACAAGTCGCTAGGTAGGTTATTTTAAGGCCTTGGATTATAAGCTAAGCGCCGAAGTTAAATATCTTGTCTTGGATATTTTTCATTAGTCTCTACCAGACTACCTACACTTGCTATATAGAGGGAGAATATTTGCCAGGGGAGTTTGGCCGCCTAGTGGTTTGACTGGCCGCGTAGTTATATAGGATATAGGCATAGCCGGGAAAGCATGAACCTTCCGCGACCTGACTCCCCTGGTCAAATTTACTCTCCTTTTTGCCAAATGCTACGTAGAAAGACCTGGTGGGGGCTAATTTTTCTCCAGTTGGTGGTCTAAACTGCTATTAAGCTTTTCTTTCTGGTTGATTTGGTTGTCATTGTGTTCCTGATTCGAACCTGAGTGTTATAATTTCTAGTTACGCAGTAGCGGTGACGATGTCACGGTCGGAACTGTGTATGTAGACACAGTTAAGTACCGAGGCTCTACTAAAGCTATAGATGGGCGCGGATTTTTGCAGGAGTTAACAAATCCTTGTTGCTCTATGATAGCTAACCCCTTTTATTTTCATATTTTGCCTGTAGGAATCCCAAGAACACCATCTTCGACGCCAAGCGGCTGATCGGGCGGCGGTTCGACGACCCGACCGTGCAGGGGGACATGAAGCACTGGCCCTTCAAGGTCGTCAGCAGGAACGACAAACCTGCGCTGGAGGTGGAGTACCAGGGAGAAGTCAAGACGCTCCAGCCGGAGGAGGTCAGCTCCATGGTGCTGACTAAGATGAAGGAGACGGCGGAGGCTTACCTGGGCCAGCCCGTCCGAGACGCCGTCATCACCGTCCCCGCTTACTTTAACGACTCGCAGCGCCAGGCTACCAAAGACGCCGGCTTGATCGCCGGGCTGAACGTGCTGAGGATCATCAACGAACCGACGGCAGCCGCGCTGGCTTATGGGCTGGACAAGAACCTGAGCGGGGAGAAGAACGTCCTGATCTACGACCTGGGCGGCGGGACGTTCGACGTGTCCATCCTGACCATCGACGAGGGGCAGCTGTTCGAGGTGCGCGCCACGGCCGGCGACACCCACCTGGGAGGGGAAGACTTCGACAACAGAGTCGTCAACCACTTCGTCGACGAGTTCAAGCGCAAGTACAAGAAGGACTTGCGGTCCAACCCGCGGGCCATCCGCCGGCTGAGAACGGCGTGCGAGCGGGCCAAGAGGACGCTGTCGTCCAGCACAGAGGCAGTCATCGAGATCGACTCTCTGCACGAAGGGATCGACTTCAACTCCAAACTGTCCCGGGCCAGGTTTGAGGAGCTGTGTGCTGACCTGTTCCGTGGCACTCTGGAGCCCGTGGAGAAGGCCCTCCGCGACGCCAAGATGGACAAGTCCAAGATCCACGAGGTCGTCTTAGTCGGAGGCTCCACCCGCATTCCCAAGATCCAGAAGCTCCTCCAAGGTTTCTTCAACGGCAAGGAGCTGAACAAGTCCATCAACCCTGACGAGGCCGTGGCGTACGGAGCCGCCGTGCAGGCAGCCATCCTGTCCGGCGTGGAGGACGACGGGATCAAGGACGTCCTTCTGGTGGACGTCGCGCCTCTCTCGCTGGGTATTGAGACGGCGGGCGGCGTCATGACGAAGCTGGTGGAACGGAACACGCGCATCCCCTACAAAACGGGCCAGACCTTCACCACGTACAGCGACAACCAGCCAGGCGTCACCATCCAGGTGTACGAGGGCGAGCGCGCCATGACCAGGGACAACAACAGACTGGGCCTGTTCGAACTGAGCGGTTTCCCGCCGGCCCCTCGCGGCGTGCCGCAGATCGACGTGTCCTTCGACATCGACGCCAACGGAATCCTCCAGGTCTCCGCCGTGGAGAAGAGCACGGGGCGCAGCAACAAAATCACCATCACCAACGAGAAGGGGCGGCTGTCGAAAGAAGACATCGAGCGGATGGTGGCTGACGCGGAGAAGCACAAAGAGCAGGACGCGGCGGCACGGCAGCGGGCAGACGCACGGAACGGGCTGGAGAGTTACCTCTTCGGCCTCCGCTCCACCGTCAACAACCCTGACGTGTCCGGTAAGCTGTCCCAGGCCGACAGGGACGCCGTGCTGAACAAGTGTGAGGAGGTGATGAAGTGGCTGGACATGAACACGCTGGCGGAGAAAGAGGAGTTCGAGGAGCAGCAGAAGGAACTGGAGAAGGTGTGTGCTCCCATCATGACCAAACTGCACAGCGCCGCCGCCGGGGGACAACAGGACGGAGCCGGGACACAGGGACCTACTATCAACGAGGTGGACTGAAAACAAACTGTGTGGACTAAAGTGTATAAAGTATAAAGTAATTACGTGCATTAGAGACACTAGGCTAAATGAGTCAGCGCTCGTTTCGTGCACGTACATGTATATTTGTTACGAATGATAATTATAGAAAGTTTAATGTTGCAGTAGCGTTCATACTTTTATAATGCAAACTTTCGCTGTGAAACGAATTTGAAGCTCCAAGTCAATATGATGCGATCTGAGTTGATGGTATAACCTTTGAATACTTGCAGAATAAAATACCCTCAACGTACAGCTTGATCAATTTATTCAAAGTGAATGAAAAGATGTATGTAGAGCTTGGAAAATGTAAATGCACATGGAGCCTTCATAACATCATATATATATATATAGTTCGACATAGACATTCGGCATTGACTTGTCCAACAAATCGTTTGCTTAATTGTGAACAGTGTAGATACATATTTCGAAAATACTGTTGGTATGTATATATAGCAATACATAGGACTCTGCATAGGCATTAGGTACCTGTTTTAGGTTTACTAGTACAAATAAAGATTCAAACGTCACTGCAAATTGAGATTATTGTGTGTTCTCCAGACATTCAAAGAACAATACCAGGTTCTGATTACGATACAGATTGCAAATTATAGGTACCAATACACATACGCAATTCCTAACTTATTACATAATTATATGTACTAGTAACAAAAAAAGGATAGAAATGAACATTTTAATGAGGCCTGCCATCCCCATTCAAAAAAAAGGTTATGCAACTAGTACTCCGACAGACTGGCGCATACATATTGCCATAATTCTATTTTATTCAAAATCTGAAAATACATACGGTCTGCTCTGTTCATTCTTACTCAAACACATTCACATATATGGTGACAGGAGTCTAAATCCCTCCTACTATAAAATTGCAACATTATGTAACCCAACACCAGTTACCATGGTGACAGACGTCAACAAATCAGGCCATTGGCAAGGTCAGAGGTCACTGGAGAGGAATAAGAAGAAACTGAGCAAAAACGATATGTTTTCCTTCGGTAAACATGATTATAATTACTTTTGAATCTGTACCATGTTGAGTTGGGTGTAGCTGCGGGCAGGTCTCACATTCCCTTCTTCGCGAGGACCGAACGTTTGCCGACACCAAGCCGTCAGAATGGCCTTGAATGCGTTACGGAACTCTTCTAACCTCCACGTGTATATCACTGGGTTTACGGCAGAGTTGGCGTGGGACAGAACTATGGCGCTCAGGACGAGTTGGTGAGGAACTCTCAGCGTCGTCGTGAAAAAGTTGACGCAATTGATGATGTGAAGAGGCAGCCAGGAGGCGGCGAAAGCTCCGACGACCATGGCCAGGGACACCGCCACCCGAACTTCTCTCTGTATTTGTGCCCTCCTACGATCCCTATTGCTTAGACCGATGTTTAGTTTAGATATCTTCTTCAGTTGCGACCGGGCTATGAGAAACACTCGGGTGTATATGGCTGCCGCAAGGACTAGTGGTGGAAGGACGGTCCCGAAGAAGTTGAAGTAGACCATGTAGGACATGTTGATGACGTCTTCGAAGTAGCAGCAGGTGAAGGAGTCCTGGGAACGATGCCACACCATGGGGACGAGCCCGATGACGGCTGCAGCTGCCCAGGTGCCGGCGATGGTGAGGCAGGTGCGGCGTGTGGTGACCAGGCGGGAGTAGGACAGGTGCAGCCCGACCGCCAGGTACCTGTCCACGGCGATGGCCAGCATGCCAAATATGGAAGTCTGCGTAGTGATAATGATGAAGGAGAGGGTGAAGCGGCACGCGTGGGGGTGAAGCGGTAGACCGATGCTCGTGGCGATGGCGAAGGGAATGGCGAAGAGTCCCACGAAGATGTCGGCGACGGCCAGGGACACGACCAGCAGGTTGCTCGGCGTGCGGAGTCGCCGGCCCCGCAGGACGGCCACGCACACCAGGGTGTTCCCGAATATGGACAGAAACGCTATCACCACCTGAACAGACATATGGACATATGTAAACGTTAACACAAGCATATAGAAATATGATAATGATTAAGAAAAGAGAAGACTCAGACCAAGGACGTTCTATCAGAGTGTCCTTAGTTAGACCCTGTTCTCAGTTGCTAACCAATGTCACCATGGCATCTTTGGTCTATAAAACTGAAGGGTGGCCCTGAAAAAGCAGTCTAGTATCCAGGTTATAAGCCTTCGCTACATACATCAGATAGTATCGACACACTGTCTAGTGACCTCGAAATAGTACAGTACTATCGTGTGTTACTTGATCCCGAAGACAAAGTTATGATAAAATGACGAGAAATGTAAATATGTGCAGTACGTTGTAAGACGGGGTCCTTAGAATGCTAGTGGTAACGTTGCATTATGTAGACATTACATGTATAAACTCACCTCAACTACTGTGTACACATAGAACCTGAGAGGACGAGACTGGTCGGGGCAGTCAACATCGGACGAGTTCCAAGAAGACACGTTCTCAGGATCCATGGCTGGGAGATCTGTTAACAACACGTCATGGCGAATTGTGGTCATTATAAACCAATATCATGATCTTGATAAAGCATGAAAATGTCCTAGGCAGCTGGTAGAATCACCGGGACGGGCCAAGCTGGTCGAGCGGTTGTAGTTGTTACAGTGGCCGAGAAAAGCAGACTACAGCCCCGGGAGAGGGACAGGCTGGTAACTAGTAAGCCTCGTATCCAGTCTTACGTGGTAGGACCAATTTTTCCTCGGGGCTCCAGGAGCTCTTCCCCGCCCGCCTCAGCTAAGGTTTCCCGGTGGGTATTTCACGAGAGATTGACTAGCTCTACCACGTGTTGGGGCAAATCAAATCCCCAAGCAATTGCCATCTGTATCAGCGTAACAGGTCGGCCTGTTGTACTGGACGGAGGGAAGCTAGTTTGTCCCCGAAGACACAGCCTGCCTGAACACCCCAACAGCCCGGCCCCCAATCACGTAAAAAGACGGGATACCAGGCTAGGTAAACTAGATGAACGGCCCGCCGGAAGCGTCATACCATTGCCTAAATTATTGACACTTTAAATATTGCCTGTGGCCACTGTGGCTGCTATCTTGTCGTAGACAAATATATAGGGACAAAATAAAGTACATATAGCTCTTGTTTTGATCCGATGCCAACGTAGACTGAGGTCACATTTTCAAACCGGGGCCCGGCCGGGATGCTTGCGGGAACTTGAAGTATGGGGTAAATTAAAAGACAACAAAACACACACAAAAAAGTTACAAACCAAATTAATAACGAGCAATGTTTGTGTATAATATTGTTGATATAAATTGTTTCTTTTCCTCTCATGCAAACTGCCCGGGCCGGCTCTGGTTTGGAAATGTGACTTTAATAGCATTTGGAAAATGACATGAAGAAAGTATATAATCAATTCAAGTACTAGTATATGTGTGCATGTAACATGTTTACGATAATATCCATTATGATATGCAACTTTGGTATCTCTCTATCATACAGCGTCTTTGAATAAAACAAAGCATAAAACGTACCTACTGCTGGTTGAAAACCCTCCTAGTCTGCCAACCTAATCTGAAAAGTATCCATTTTTGATAGTTGGTCCCCTTGGATTGAGACAATTGCAAGTGCCGTCTTTAACTATCTTTTGTCTTCACACAATTGCAATAGCCTAATCTCAAAACAGATCTCAAGGGGCAAGATAGTTTTGCGAATTTGATACTGATTTGTAGCCACCCAAATATCTGCTTGGAGAATACCCCCGTACGGACACTGGTTTGACAGCATCTTTACCTAGTTATATCTGCTTAAGTGCTTTGAGTATCTATTAGCCCTGTTTTGGTGACATGTCATCCTCCCATGGCAGGGTCAGCGGCTCCGAGGAGAAGGAACTCGGAGCCGCTGACCCTGCCATGGGAGGATGTGTGCATGAAATGGAGTTGTAACTGTTTTGCATGTTCAAACGGCCTGTATGCATGACAACTGTGTGTTAGCTGGCAACACGACCTTGTAAACATAACGCCAAGGCGTTATAAATGAATGTAAATATAGTACGTGACATGCAAACGGCTACCGAACTCAGTTCATGCATAAAGAAAACCAGAGCAAATCATATTTTTTGTTATCTTTTCACAATTTTCGCTCTACTTGCCAGCAATATGAGTTACTCTCCAACTTCTCTATCATAAATTTTCTGTCGCATGGGGAGTACGTAGCGGCAGAAAAATGGTGCATATGATAGAAAGTTTACAATCTTCTTGATATGGGCATGGAGGGATAAATTCAAGAATATACAATGTACCTCCATGCAAGGAGGCCAACCCCCTTGCCCCTCCGCTGGTATGGGTAACACATGAGCAGTACGAGCAAGGAATAAACTCCTTGGTACGAGCAAGGAGTTTTTTTTTAAATAAATGATAATGAATGAAGACCTTTGTTGTACATTTGTGTTCTACAGAACTAAAGTACAGGTCGCATGGGTACAGAACATGAACATAAACATATACATTACATACATATGAACATATAAGAATGTAAATAAATGTCTAATTTCTATTCCTTTAATGAAAGCTCCTTGGTACGAGCAAGGTTTGTCACGGGCAAGGACAAAATTATATTGACGAGTGTGACCATGGACTCTACCAGGCTCTACCTGGAAATTTTACTCTGGCATTCTATTTCGGCAAATGCTATTCGAATTTAGTCTATTTATGCTGTTTTTTCAGCTAGACACACAAGCGAACAAGATGTCCTCAACGAGTTCTTTTGACGGGACGTCTTTTTACTTGTTTTGCTTGCCTATGCACGTACATGCTTCAGCGGACTCGTAACGTTATATTGTAAGGTGCAAGTCTTAAATTCAGTTGAAAGACGTGCCAAAATGAAAACATACCTGCTGAAACAAGGAGAGGCCATCCCTCTGATTAAGAAAACCTCCTTGCCAGTCTGAGTCTTAACAGAGACTAATCTCCAAGCAGATCCCTCTCGGTGGCAAAAAACGGCCATATATAAAAAGGTAACGATCATTCTCCACAACCTCTGCTTGGAGAGTAAACAGAGACGGCTATTATATACTCATGAGCACTGACATCTGCTACTTACTTAGTCTACTACTAACTAAAGAGAATATCGTTGTACACTGATCGTTGTACAAAGAGCCGTACCTACCAGATTTTCAAATTCCAACGGCTACGCCCAGATTTCCACTGACGACAGAACTTGCTGGCTGTCTGTGCCCAAGAAGCAGAATGTCCTTGCCGTGCTGTAAATCCACACAACAGATCGTAAGTTCAGGTCGAAATCACTCAGAATTTGTGAGCATTCACCCGGCAAATCGTTGTTGATTTTCCCGCATACACTCTTCGTTTTCTCGCCTCCCGGGAGTAGCATTTACATTAGGCATTTCACACCTTTTAAATTACGCCTTGTCCTTATCGCGTGTTCGCAGACGGGGGCAAGTGCAGTTTATCAGCAGACGATCCGCGAAGTGCCGATAAACAGTGGGTGCGTGAAAGCTAGTGTCACCCATGGCTAACCTCCCAGCAGATCCTAGTCTCTACCAGACTTCTTTTGCAGGGTGAACAAATCGTAGAAATCGGCCTAAAAAGGGTATTAATTGGCCATCGACTATCAAATTGGCCTGCAATGATCGTCGATGGCCAGCTACCTTCTCTCGCCCTTTTTAGGCCGATTTCTACGATTTATTCAGCCTGTAAAAGAAGTCTGGTGGAGACTAAGCAGATCCTATAGGGTGGCAAAAGACACTAGACAGTCGGATGACGTGTTGGACCCTCTCTGGCCAATGGATCCTACCTGGACAATTTGATACTGTCTTTTGCCACCATAGGAACTGCTTGGAGATTGCCCATTGCCCAAAGAAAGTCTCCAGGAAGGAAGCCGCCCCACCTCTGCACACCTAGTGTTGAGAAACTTCAAAGGAACCCGTTACTTCGGTACTTTTGCGTTAGACAACCGGTGGACGTGCATTTCAGAACTATAAGGTCATCTCCAGTTCTCCTCAAAACCTAACCGTGATCTACAAGAGGTGAGAAGATATCTGTATATGTACTAAAGTAATCGTCAGTTGCGGAAATTGGCTTCCACTCAGAGGTTGGTTACTGTATGACTATGACAAACCTGTGTAATTTCCTGATATGACTTTGAAGACATCAGCATGGGAAGTTCCATATTTGCGTGGTATCTATTAATGGAAAGGTAAATTGTTATCAAACAGAAATAAATATTAAGTTAAAATCAGAACAAATGAACACCCAAGAATCTGAAACCACACACTTGTTCCTTGCTTTTTATTGAACTTCTTTCAAACCGGTGCAAAAATAGATATATGCAAATGTTAATTACTATCATTTCCTGAGTATCTTTTTAAGAGACAGGAAGTTTCAAAATGGAACGTGGAGTACATGTATTTACGACTGACATATGTCAACACAATAAGTTTATGTTCTTCTTCTAACAAACTTCTTGTAACGTTACATCTTATATTTGTAATTGCAACATAAATGTATGCTAGAATGGAGTGTCAAAAGTACTTAACCCTAACGATATTGCATTGGTATTTTGGTCGCCTCTCTACTACTACTACTACCTACTAGATGTAAAACGTTTAAAAAATACTGACAGTTATACAGTAACACACTGCAAGTCATCATATAGGACATTGAAATAAAAATATTTATCAGAGTTATGTATCGAGCTAGGTGTATGTTGTACATGAAATCTAAACATCCAACACATTCTTTATGATGGAAATTCTTTTCGATTAAAAATATTCTACCATTTGTCACGATCCTTCTATAGTTAGCGTTTTATTTTTCTGGCTATTCTTTTGGTCGATTTCTGCGTCAATTCTGGACAAGATGGCGGAGAGGTGTGGCGGGAACACCGGAGAGGGTTCGGGGGTTATTCCCATCAGGAAGTCGTAGTCCATCCACCAACCAGCAGTGGACTTGTACTGTCCTCTCTCATTCACCTAGAAGGATAAGGGCCATCTTTAATACTAGTACTGCATTTCTGAATTAGAGATGGTACATCAAAGCAAATACAAGTTTACCTTCACATGGTCTAGCCCAACTAACTACTGCTTTGTTTATTTGTACTTAAACTCATTCATACATATGGTGACCAGCCCCTCTATCTCTATCCTGCCACTTGCTACATAATGTAATCCAACACCACAAAGTGTCTGCTACAGCATCAGTTACCATGGTGACAGCCTTTGTTTAGAACAGAAATATTGTAGAGGAAGCGGAAGAAAAAACATGGAGCAAAAATGATGTGTTTTTCCTCTGTGCCACTACATCAAAACTGAAAGTTCTGCTGCAGTGCCATAGAAAACAGATAGGGGGCCCATAATCAAAGTTGAAACAAGTTAAATGCTGATTATTCAACTACATATACATTTGTTTGCAGACTTTGTATGTGTGTGTGAGTACAAAGAAGCACAAGCACAGATGAAGTTGGGTGTTAATATATGATGCCAAATCTTTACTCCAGTCAGCTTGGCCTTTTTCCTTCTCCCTGCTGCCTAACCCCATAACCAATACAGATTTGGTGTCAAACAGGTACCTTAGTTAAATCTCACACCACCTGTACCTTTAACAAGTCCTCCACAACAATGTCAGCTTCTCCAGGGAACAGGTTCTTGGACATCTGCAGCTGTCTGAGTACAGGTACACCTGGCAGGAGTACAGAGGAAGAGTACAGATCATAACCTACTGGTTTATAAAACTAAAAAAAGCTAAGATTTGCAAAGCAAAATACATAATACGCCAAAAAACAGTTACTCAAGCAACTGGATATGATTTAGGAAACGGTTAGATGTTTCAGGTAGCATTCACTATCTTTCGTCTGTGACACTACATGTAGGAGACTACAGGAGAAATGCAGATTTATAAGCACGAACTATTGATTGATATGCAAAATACATAATGTTTGTCTTCACTTGGTCTAGCCCAACAAACTACTGCTCTTATTCTGACTCAAACCAGGAAGGTAAAAAATCTGCTTGCTCAAACATGTATTCATATATCTCATGACCTGTCCCTCCTGACAGCCTTGTTGTGCCCTCTAGTGTAATTTTCAAGTACTGCAGCAGCAGACAAGTTTTTACAAATTACAAGCACTGCCAAAGCAATGATCAGGACATACGATAGTCAATGGTAGTAAATGATATATAGGTAATGGGCATAGAAATCTTGGTGATTTGGAACAGTAAGAAGGATATAAGCAGAATGTACTGCACCCACATGATACCACAGTTTCTGTTGGATGTTTGGTCAACGTTGCATCACAATTTGATTCAAATTGCACAACACATATTTTCCGACACAAAATTTGACAAATTAAGACGACACCTCATCCTCGAATACTGTAAATCACTTTATATTCACGGTAGAAAAATGGACTTGTTGCCAAACTAAATGTTTGCGGTGGCGGCAGGTGCAAAAGAAAGAAAGTCGGCAAATTATTTGTTGGCAGTAATGATAAATTTGCAGTATACAAGTGACCGAGAAAACTGCGAACATAAAAGTGCTGCGAATACAATATGATTTACAGTAACTGAACATAACTGCTAAGTACAATACATTCTGGATGTTGCAAAGGCCCAGTATATATATTCAGAATGCCAACGTGCTATCGAGGTCTGACCTGGTACTTTGTCGAAGGGCAGCCCTCTCTCTTTTCTCCGTCGTGCCTCCTTAACTGCCAGACAGAACTGTCTGAGTCGGTTGGCCAGAAAGTTCCAGTACTTGTGGTGGAAGTAAACCCTCCGCAGCATGACTTCTCTTGTAGCGGTGCAAACTGCCATGAAGTCACACCAGGGAAGACCGGAGAATGCCATCTGGCCTTGTATCTAAAATCCGGGACACAAAGAGAGGGATGTTTATAATCTTTTTATGTTTACCGGAGGAAAACATATATTTGCTCTGTTTCTTCTTCTTCTGTTAACGTTCCAAACACTGTCCTCTGACCTGGTCAATGACCTGAACCAGTGTTTCTTCTTCTTCTGTTCCAAACACTGACCTCTGACCTGGTCAATAACCTGAACCAGACTGTCACTCACCAAGGTAACTGGAGTTGGGTTATAGAATGTTGCAATTTTATAGTAGGAGGGATTTAGACTCCATATATGTGAATGTGTTTGAGTAAAAATTAACAGAGCAGACCATATGCAAAGGTAAACATTGTGCATTTGCTTTGCAAATGTTACCCTTCTAGTTTTTTTATTTATATACTTGTTTATTTACCACATTTGTGAAGGGTTTGACATAACAGGTGACTATCAACTTTTTAAGATGTCAACCCTGAGACCAGACTGTAAGATTTGAACAAGTCACACTGGGAAGGGCCCCTACTCTTTTCAATAACTGTGGTGCTTTTATGTGCTGGAGGTGTGGCTCCCTTCAAACATGGGACCTCTGGCCTTATGTCCCATCCGAGATGACAGCTAGGTACTCATTTTCACCCGATTCAAGTGAGGAAATAGATGTAAAGTGCCTTTCCCAAGGACACGACGGTGGGGACTGCCAGGGATTCAAACCCAGAACCTTCAGATTCTGACTCAACATCTCTGACCACAAGACCACGAATGAGACTCTCAAACAGGTTTGGACATTATCTACACTAGTTCTCTTTGGTAGAAATACCATTGTCACAGGCTAGAATACACCCCTTGCCAGAATCTACCCCTGGTCAGAATATGCCCAGGTACAATCCAGCTTGTTACAGAATGGTGTTGCAATTTGTCCTTCAGCACTACTCTCCAAGCAGAGGTTTGGGTTTTGGTTTATTTTTGGCCTATTTTAGGCATTCTTATTGGGCTTTCTTTTTTGCACTGGTATTTTTCATTTCTTTTATTAAGCCGCCAATGATTAGACCAGAAATTCACGCCAAGGGGGAGGGATTCATCCTATCCTGTGGCTGCAGAAGGCACACTTCGCAGTTCGCACCTACTTGTAGAACAACTGTAATGCATTGATATGATTAAGTTTATAGCGCATTGATGCTTGCAACTGCCGGCAGAGGTTGGGTAGGCATAAAAAAAATTCCAGTGCAAAAAAGAAATCCCAAATTGGCAATAAAAAAAAAACTAAATACGCCCAAATTTATCCAAAACCCAAACCTCTGCTCGGAGGGTACATGTACTATGTACAGCACCTGTGCCATGTAGCTGCGAGGAATGCCATGTGGCGGGTGCTTCTGCTTGCTGTACAGGTAGTTGACAGGTGCCTTATATTCAACTAGACCTGCTGGCTGGGTCTCCGAACCAAAAAACACCTAAGGGTAGGAAGCAAAAATAACATTGACATTGACACACACCACAATTAACAGTTATCATCATCATTTTAATCCGGTGAGGTACACTTGATTAAGTTACTGTAGTATGCTCTACCCCTCATGGCAGACACTAGAGCAGTCCCTGCGAGACCAGTGTCTCTCTCTAACATTGACAAAAGTATAGAACAAGGCTGTCCCACTCTACGGCTCCCAGTGGGAAGCCACTGTATTAGTCTACCAGCTGGTTTGTTACTACCAACAACATGCCCTGCCAGGGCGAGTTTTGACACAACATCATGTCGAGCACCAAAGGCACAGTCGTAAGAGCTAGGGTCTGGGTGCATGCTCCCCCAGGAAAATGTTGAAATCTTGACCCTCTGAACCTCTGTTTCCTGCATTTTTAGGATCAAATTTTGCTGGTAGTCCAAGCTTAGTTTAATGACATTTCTTCCAATATCTTTACATGCCAAGTTTGTCATTCAAAGATCATAGATTGGACAAAATTTTTGTCAGATCACTGGCTTGTACAGTCCCCAATTTTTTTTCCATAGGCGCAAGTATTAAGTAACCTGTACAAGATCTAGAAGACTGCTCTATCTCAGTCCCCTGGGTGGCCTTCTTGACACAGGTTTGACTGTATTACTACAATCATGAATCTATGAAGAAGATTTGCTTTGAAGGAGTAACCTTACCTTGCCATCAGGCGATGCTCCACACAGTCCGTATAGTATACTGGTTGGATCCGGTACCCAGAACCCTGCCTCCTCCGTACGGTGGCCAGTCAGCAGTCCGTACATCTCATCTATGATGTGCTCCATGTCTATACCATGCTGGGTAAAGCTGTTGCCATTTTCTCCCTGTACATAAATAATAGCAACACAGAATTGAAACAGCTTTTATATCCTATGGGGCAACTCCAAAAGTCATAAAAAAGACAAGAATCTTCAGAAAACATTATTCATACTATTAATGTTATTCATTTCGTAAAAAGGTAACATTTGCAAAGAACTTACATAATGTTTACCTTCAAATGAACTAGCACAACAAACTACTGTTCTCTTCATTATTACTTTCACATTCACACATATGGTGACAAGGCACTCCAACTCTGTCCTGCCAATTGCTACATAATGTAATGCAGGGTGTCTTCTACAGCACCAGTTACCATGGTGACAGCCACCTGGTGCAGGCCGCTGACTTAATTTGTTTAGTATGGAAAAAGAGAAAGAAGAAGAAATGGAGAAAATTTAAAACAGACGATGTTTCCTCTACCTTATACAAAGGATCATCTGACACAAGGGACAGAAAGAAGTCATACGGCCGTCCTTTTCCCACTCCGAGGGCTTCTCCAAAGCGTGAGGCAGTCAGGACGACTTCTTGCCTCACCTCATACCACTCCTCTGTCCTCTGTTTGACATGGATCTCCATATCTAGACATTTTTCGCTCTGTCCCTATGAATAAGAAAAAAAGTAACATTTGCAAAACAAATATACAATTTAAAGTCTATTTAACTTCTGCTCTGTTTATTCTTTCTAAACACATTTACATATGGTGACCAGCCCCTCCAACTCTATCCTGCCACTTGCTACATAATGTAATCCAACAGCTCCTTCCCTGGACAATCACTTTGAAAAAATCTGCTTTTTTGCCCTTCGGCATTTTTGCCCTTCGGCACTCAGGAATTTATTTGAGGTATCATTGTTAGTAAATAATAACAGGTGTGAATCAAATAGAAAACGTGTGATCAAGGATGTTAAAAAATAAACAAAACCTTTGTGTAAAAATAATATCCAACATTACAACACATCAACTAATCGCTCTGGACTTAATCCAGTCTCCATGCCAATAATAGCCGTAAAAGTATGATTGAACATGGATGGAGTTACAAAATTATGGACGATTACTGATTATTTTTTTTTTATTTATATATCAAAACAACAAACATACATGGAACCATCCATTACACAATAATTCAAATCATAACAAATCATTGATCATAACAATAAACAATAATTCAAATCATAACAATGTATTTTTGGCTCGTCAAAATAAATGGTTGTGATCGAAGCTATTCATTCGTTTATCAACCTGATGAAATTATTTACGGAAACAGTAATTCAAATCATCACAAATTATTGATCATATTGATAACAATAATCATAACAATAATTCAAATCATAATGTTGATAGTGAAAGAAAAACACTCAAGAACACAAAGTACCCCATTTGCCACGATACTTCTGCAGAATTCCCGATTACTGACTATTATTAATTTTTGCCTGTGTGTGGCAAGGAAGAGATTGAAAGTATTACGTTACGAAACAGAAAAACAGAGAGAGGGAAGGGGGGCGGTGGTAGAGGGCGTGGCCCAGCTTGTTCACCCGTTCTTACGCCCTAACGTGTTAGTCTGTGCACCTCTTCATACCTTCACGTCAAGCATCAACCTCACATCTTCCAAGGATCGCCCGTTCCTTGACGTGACCTTGGAAAATGTGAAGGTGACGAACAAGATACGCAAAAACCGCGACGAAGTTTCGCGGGAAATTTTGCAGAGGATCCTGGGTAATATGGTTGTAATACGCAGGCGCAGGGGGAACATCCGGGGCCTGGCAGAGTTCACTCCTAGAAATCCAACATGGCGGCCGAGGGAGGAGGAAAAGAGAACGAACTCAAGACACAATTTACCACCAGAGAGGGCACGTACAAGCTGCTCTCCCTCTCGGAATACTCCCGGCCGAATAGGGTACCGTACAACGCACAGGGCTGCCATCCCGTCAGGGTGTCTTTCATCAACGTGAGCGGGGAAAAGGACGGCTCGGGCGACCGGATCTGCTTCAACGTAGGCCGCGAGCTCTACTTCTACCCGTATAAAGGTGTCCGCAAGGTAAACAACCGTACAGAAGACTTCGAGAAAATAGTCTTACTAGTCTTAAGATGTAGTGGTAGGTAGGAGGGGGTGTGGGGATCTCTCTCATGGCTCCTGTGGAGATGTTTCTGTACCGTAGGACGACGTGAAGTCAGCAGGTTGTATGGATAGATGGGGGTGGTTAGTGGTGCTTGTTGGTAGGCGTGTGCGAGTGATATGATACATACAAGGCGTGGAGAGAAAAAAACACCAACACACACGCTTCAAACAGGTTTTCGTTTTGATCCGGTCTCTGGTGGGACGGGCATGGCGTGATGCCAACAACGTCGGGTCACGACGTCGAATTAGTCTGTCCTACGTAATCCATATAAAACCCAACCCCCTGCATCAGAGTTCAGACGACGTTTTGTTGCAGGAGCGACATACATGTGTGTGTGTGTTTAAGGTGTTGTCTTCAGTCGTGTTACCTGCCCAAAACAGGTGTGTTACTTACCTTGTCAGCATCTTATGAGTCACTGAGGAGTAAGGAAGATTGCACAAGGAGATTAGAGGACGTTCTTGTAATGCAATTTCTTCCTGGTGAAGATGGCATGTAGCTTATGATGTTATAACTCTGGATCTGTCACCAAGATAACTTAGTTAATTTGAGACCATTTGTGATATAACATTATTTCCACCTCTTCCCATCCCAAATGAATTTATTTATTTTATCTTGTCTGATATAGAGCTGATTTTGAGATTTCTGCAAAAAAAAAAGGCTAGATTGTCTCGCTAATATATTAGTTTAGGCATAACTTTATTGCATGACAATTGCACATGGTACAATGTATGGCAACAACTATTGAACATACTAGTAGTATAAAAAAGAGGTATAGAATACACTAATTACTAAAACAATACAGACTAGCATAAGTCTTGAATGCAGTGTTACAATGGAATGGGGCTAATCATGAGTTTTGAGTATTTTTTCTAATACAAAACCATCTTTTATAATATATATTTATATTCACCTTACTTTTGCTTTGTGTGAGTCGTTGCATCTAAGGATATATTTAAATCTGTCTGTAGCATCGAGTGTTCTGAAGTCATGATGGCCACCATAGTTATTTTAAAAAATCAATGATAGGCCATCTCTGTAGGGATAGTGTCTTGAAGCACACACTTGCGAAAAGGTCATAAAAAGCACAGCGCAAAGTATTGTATTTTTATTCCTCTATCATGGAGACTGATGGCGATCGCAGCCGAAGTCTATTGAATGGTAAGTTCAAAGCAGTTTACTGGCAGGATGGCCTCGGGCCACATCAGTCACTGTTGATACCATCTTGTGTACTGTGAGAATGATACAGACAGCCACTCCATCGGGGGAACGAAAAATGCCACTTTGAACCTTCGGGATTGCTTTTACCAGTTAAGACCGGTCGGAATCATCAACGTTGTCATTGGCGCTCTCTCATCTGTAGATGACACAGTTCACCACTGCTTTGCACTCTCTTCTGTCCAATGTAGTGCTGTGTGTACCTAAACCCACATTTGGTTTCATGTCCGGATTCAAGTCTAGATGTTTAGGTTCAGGTGTGGCTTAAGCTTGTAAGTCCAGACCAAAACAGATACAAGATACGGAAGGAACTTCTCAGTTAACATTTTCTAATGGAAAATGGGATATCTTTACTGCAAAATTGTGCTACCGTGGTTTAGAAGCAATATACGTTGTTTGGGCAACACAACTGGGCGAAACATAATTTATAGCGGTCGACACTTGATGATTCTCAATTGAAGATTTTAGGTCTAGTGCTAATTGTCTTCTTCCATGCTTCCTCCTCTAGGTCTCAACCCCCCCCCCCCAATTTTATGCTGAGTATCACACGTTTATATAGTTTCGTCACAACTTTCGTGGCTGGGTGTTGGAGACACAATGCCATCATATGATTATGAATGAAAACCGAGCAGATGTCAGGAGGTAAAGACTGGCCAAATGAAATTAAACAAGAAGTGACAAAGACAAAGTGACACAAGTTGTTGTGCAACTTAATTTGTCAGCACCACATGCCAAGAATACAAATATATAATTTATGAAAAATATACCATCTTGTCCCCTCGGCCAACTTTTTTAAAAAGCATTTCTTGTTTCCCATGTCATTTTTTGTCATCCCCCGTTCTCTTCCCTTGTGGTGTATCCATTTCAATGCCACTCAAAAGAGGTGTGTTCTTGGCATCCTTACAACAAAAAAAAAAAACCAAGACGTACTCCATTCTTAAGCCAATAATCCCTCTCCTTAAAGTACGAGGGAAGCTGGGAACAATGACCAAGAAGTTACTTTCAGAAGAAGTCGCTTATCATGTCTTCAAGATAAGTACCAGAGATAGGAACCCGCCACAGGCAAAGTTGAACATTCGCTTTGTGATGTTGCAGTGGTGGTGAAAATATCACACTTAGCGGGCAGTACCTTATCTGTAGTAACCGATTATGTAACACTCACAGGTATGCCATGTGCATGTCTAAGCATGTAAATGTTGTAGTAACAGTACCTTCAAGTGCTGTTTCTTATTGCCAACATTATGCTTGGAGCCTTTCAGGTTTTGTTGGCAGTAAACTAGGGACAAAGTGAACCCTAAGGACCCAGACAATTAGTTATAGACCCTTGAAGGAGTTTGTCATTCTATCCACGTATCTCTTGCCCCACCACCTCAGGTGTGAAGTCACCTGTAAAGAGGAGCCCCTGTCTTCTCTCTGACCTCTGGTAAGGTGCAGTTGGGAGGTCCAACCGTTAAGCTGGTTGTTGCAAGACTCTTAGAGTCTTGGTGTATTACTATTATGTGGTCATGTGAAGTCAGTTAGCTAGCGTATATAAAGCATTTCCAGGAAAATAGTGCAGGTTGTTCAACTATTTTGTTGTCATAGATTTTTTTAAAATTTTAAGCAGGTTGTGACAGAACCAACCGCTGGCAAAGATAAAAGTCTTGGTGTATTACAATTATGTGGTCATGTGAAGTCAGCTAGCTAGCGTATGTACTAAGCATTTCCAGGAAAATAGTGCAGGTTGTTGAACTAATTTGATGTCGTAGATTAAAAAAAAAACTTTAAGCAGGTTGTGACAGAACCAACCCCTGGCAAAGATAAAAGTCTTGGTGTATTACTATTAGGTGGTCATGTGAAGTCAGCTAGCTAGCGTATGTAAGCATTTCCAGGAAAATAGTGCAGGTTGTTGAACTAATTTGTTGTCATAGATTTTTTTTTTAAATTTTAAGCAGGTTGTGACAGAACCAACCGCTGGCAAAGATAAAAGTCTTGGTGTATTACTATTATGTGGTCATGCAGCCTTCTCAAAAAAATTTTAGAGTAGGTGGCTGATAAGAAAAAGTAGCAGGCGAGCCACG